TTGGGTGACAACAAAATAAAAAGTTATCTAGCTGAGCTACACAATGATTCAGTAAATTAAGTCTCAAGTAGAATACCTTTTAAAACAATAAAAATAATATGCCGATAAAACTTGTCCGACATCCCTATTTCGTTTCTTCGGTTTACTATAACAGTGTAAATAGTCATTTAGCACAATCATATTGAAAGCTTAGCTTTTAAATATGATCCACATGCATTTCCGATGTCTGCCATTATCCTGGACGTTTCTAACATCTAGAAACAGTGGAGAAAAGAAGGTAGTGATCGGATTTTACGAGAAAAAAAGGCTCTAATAGGCAGGCACATGTTGGTGCCGGGAAATGTGGGAATGGCACTAGGTGATATAATCACATGAACCCAAAAAAATGAGATCGGAAGTGATCATGATGTAAACTTCCTTAGAAAATTAACACTTCTTCAAAAGTATGTTGAAGGACTGTTTTTACGATCATAATGCTATTTTGTCAACGTGCGATTTTCGGTTATCATGTTGTGCCAACAAGATTTTCTTTAAACTATCAATAAAACTAATGCTAAAGTATGTCAATAATAGAAGAAATCTCTGAGTGTTCTAGAAATATAAGGATCACCTGGAAACAACTAGAAACTTAAATGTATCTAAACCGACGTCGAATTAAAAGCATTCCATTGTGGTATCATATGACAGACTGTGGTCTAAGTGGTTAAAAAGTAATAGTTGGAGAACCTATTACAAGGTCCTTGCATGTGGTTGAAAACACAATAATTGTAATTGTTAAATTACTGCGTTAAAACCTTTAAATCCTTCAGTGCAACAAGTTCTAAAGCTCACGATACGACTAAGATATTACACTCAAGAAAATCAATCTTATATGGGAACTGTGAAAAGAGTAATAAAATACTCCCATGTTAGAGGCATGAAAAATCAATACATTTGCGACACTGACAACCAATTTCAATCAAGCCAAAAAGATTCATAACATGTTAAGTCAATGTCAACACGGGACCAAAAAAAAGTGCGATAGCCTCATACAAACGATATCAGTTAGTGGCCTAGTATAATGCCTCAGTTTGGTCACTCGCTTTGCTTTTCTCCAACAAAATAGTACGACAGGCGGTGTTGTGTGTATAGGTGATGGTTTCATATCACACACAACTAACTAGTCATTTTAGTCACCGTAGCTTCAGAAATTCATCCAGTGAATTATTTCTTGCAGTTAGAACTGTGAGATTCATTCACACACTGCTTACCTGGTCATTAAAAGACAGATTAACAATGATTCGAAGGTATCTATGAGAGAATACCTTTACTTTCGCTTGAAATATCTCTCGCTTCAACTGCTATTTTCCCCTGTCACATGGTAGGACAGAAGAGACCTGTCTTCCGTATATTTGCTAACTGGTAGAGAGTAGTGTTTCACGGGTAAGTGCAGCAAGTTAGTGACAAGCAAACAAAACTTTTGTATTCTCATTGAAACTGGATCAGTAACCAGTTTGCCTAAAATAATAGGACTTCCAAAATATGTGAAATTATTACTGCACTCAACTACTCAACTTCCTGCTCTCAAAATAGATGTTTCTCCAAATCTGTCCTAGGGCATCACTTAACCTGTCAAAGATGCCATACACATTTCAAACATCATTAAATTTTTTTTAAATCAATAAATTTTAAAAAATTGCATTTTTTGGAATTCTTATCAAACACAGACGAACTGTTCGCTTAGCTCAAGTAAATTAAATAAACGCTTAGAAAGAAATCAGCTCTTTAAGGTTCAGAATTCAATACAAGTACACCTAATGTCAACTTTTGACTTTGCGCCTAGTGTTTGCGATACAATTTGGCTAAATCTTGGTCATACTTCACATAAATATATGATAAAGTTGAGAAAGGGAAGTGATAGCGAACATTCCTGGAGAATATTACTGATAACCCCCATATCAAGTAGTCACTCTCTACATCTCTTACGCAACTATATAGGTGAATGTAGTTTTCCGAAACTGATTAGCATTATAGATTGACACTATCTCGATCTGTGGAGTCAGGTACCTTTTCAAGTACAGTGAATATGAACAGTATGAGGTGTAGGTACGCACATGTTTTTCTAGATGCCCATGAATGCTGCATATCTCATTTTTACTCTCAACCAAACTTGAAATTTAGCTGTATCGCTTTGAATTCCTGTTGTTAGCTTCAGTTGAAAGCAGAATGACTTTTGGGTTATAAGACTCTAAGAGCCAGACTAGTCAATTTGATTATTGTGATAAAATTTTTGTTAACTTTGTCAAAAGGTCCTGATAACTATCCTCAGGAACTCTAAGCAAGCATTTTCAGATTAGTTCTGTTAGACATGCAATAGCCTCCTGAGCTTTAATAGAAGTTGAAAGGTCAACATTAATTTCCCATTTAATTGTACATAAGATGGTAATGTCTTCATTTTCCCTTTACGTTTGTCAGCAACTAACATTAATGGCCATTACAAAACCCCATGTTAAAACAGTATTAGGAAAAATTCGAACTGCATTCGGCAATCCTGTACACATTTGTGCAGTAAGCAATGAGCCTAGTGTATGGGGGGGACAGTCATACTACCTGCCTGCCCAAACCTCGGTTGGGAGAGTGGCGCTGGAACTCATGACCCATCGGTTGAAAGTCATGTGCCCGAACCAATGGGACACAGCATTAGCTGTAACAAAGACAGTAAAGGAACGAGACTGTCAAGCTCAAAGCCAGTTTCCAGACGAAACAGGTGGCATCATAAGTCCAAAGCAATTTGGATAAATAATAGATAGTTATTTGACACGAGTTGAACAAATGTACTTACCGACATCTGTGAAGTTATTGTATCGGTCAACAATACGATGCAGATGACCTTCTATTCTCTCTTCACTCATACCAGTGTACAAGAAATGCTCCAATGGAATTGGACGTTTATCTGTTGCAACCAAATGAATCTCACATCCTCTTACTTGTCCAAGCCATTCGGCCAGCTCAAAATTATAGGAACCGTTGCACTTAACATGACAAGTAGAACATGCTTAGGTAGCATTATCATAATCTGTTCCCATACATACCCTCTTTCCGGGTCGTTTATATAATGAACCTGTAGTGAAAAGGAGAAGAGTGAAATAGACCATACTGAAAAGACATCTCAAAAAGCTACATAAACTGAATGCGAAGTAAACAGAATGACACGACGGTACAAAGGTTAAACATATTAATGAGTTGTTCCACAGAGTCTGAATCTGAAGAAACACAATAAACATACGGGCTAACAGGAATACATTTAGATACAACTGTGCAATAATTCGAGTAGAAACGAAGGCATAAAAGCAAGAAGTCAGAAAACGACGAAAAAATACTAATGAAGAAATCAGGAAAACTAAGAAATTACCAAAGCACATAGTCACGACACAAACAAACTCAAGGAAAACTTCATACACAAATACGTTTGTTCAAACTCACACAATTTACAGCGGTGTTCAACGAACAAGTGGGTAGAATAAGAGTGCTTCAAAATACACAAAGTTGTGTGAGGGAATAGAAAATTTGAAGATAGTTAGTGAATATATTCAGGCTCTAGAATACATCAAACAGTGAATACAACTGCGCCACTATGATGTCACTAAGTATCCTCAACCACTGATTCCTGCCGTCTAGGAGACTCCAGTCAGCTACCCTACATTTCACACTACTCAGGTCAAGTATACGAGACTTCATCGACTGGTGCCACTTCTTGGTCTGGACACCCCGAACCCTCTTCCAACCTAATTCAACTTACCCCCATCATGGCGCGTAGAGATAGATGGCAGCTAGGCATGCAGAGTAAATGTCCAAGACATCTCAGTCAACCTCATCAATCGACTTCCCTGACTGGCCTAGTACGCTTCGCATAACCTCATTGCTGCTCACACGCTGATTCCAACAAACGCGAGAAACGCTATGACAGCTGTCATCAAAACCTGTAACCGCTTCATGTCTTCAACTTTCAACGACAATGTCTCAGAGCCAAAATGCAGCGAAAAACAGACTGCAAGGCAGTGTACTCGTCCTTAAACAGATAACTGGATATCTCGTTCGGTCTGAAGTAAGTGGTTGAAGTGATTGACAAATTGTACCACTTCACTACCTATCATTAAACTGGATATACTTGCAGCAGACTAATCCTGTAGCATCATCTTACATTTGAAAGTTGCAAGCAAAACGCTTGCCCATTAAATCAGATTTCTGCTCAAAGCGTTCAGCATCTTCAGGCAGCAGGACGATATCATCTGCATACTTCAAACCAACCAAATGACATCCAAAGAGTACGTCAATCCCTGTGAAGTCAGAGATGCCTAAAAGTATGTCCACCACTACGTCCATAAAGAAATTAAACGAGAACCATGACAGGACATTTGTGGCGGACACCAATAGTTGTCCTTGATTCACATGACAACTCTCCATAAGCCCAGACACAGCTGGGTGAGTTCGAGTAGACCAATATGATCTCTATCTGTGTTCATCACTGGCTTAATCTTGAATAACGCCATGTGGGACAGTGTCTCTCCTTATGTCTAACGTTAGTGCTGACTAGAAGCAAGTGGTTGTCAGTGTGAAATTGCAACAGTCGATCACCGTTATCATTTTGTTGGCACGGTACTCCGTAAATACCTCCAAAATGCCTTCCTAATTGGCTCAGCTTCCCTACTTGGGCGTAATTGACGTTATGACATCTGAACACTTCGCTTTCTGTAGCGAAATTGACAGCTTCTCATAGAATTCATCCTTCGCATCATACCAACCACAGTCGGTGAGTGTGTGGGCAGAGATTACGAATAGATATCACTTAGTCTCACGATCTGTAACAGATCCATCTAATCGAATAACACATGAACGGCTGTTTACTGGTATCCAGTTGATAAGTGCACTTTCGGCCCTACACCTCAATGCTACAACAGCGAGTCCAACATGAAGTCAATGTCAGGAACTTAGGAGACTAAGAATGAGGTTCTGATGGCTTTGATCGTTGGCAATGGTTGCAGAGTGAGAGGTTGGGTAAAGCGTAGGAGGCTCAATGTTAGTAACAGGAAGTGAAGGCAAAGTAGGAGACAGTTGAAAAGGATAGTTTGTGTTTGATTGGATCTTGTGTACTAAAGAAAACGTTTAGGCAGTTGACACTTTCCGGCTGCACACACCGTGGAAGGCTAGTTCTTCTTGGGTACCTAAAAGAAGGGATAGTGTGTGACTGCGAAGCCAAAGGAATGCCTGCTGGAGGTCAGTCACAGAGCATTTTGGCAATTTTGAGATTTTTAATTTTAGCTTTTGAAGCCGATTGTAAATCCCTGTTGCAGGCATCGCCTGCCACCAGGGGGTGGAGTGTGTTATTTTCATGCCAACCTTTTCTAACACCCCTCTCCTTCCCTTGAGGAAGGCAGCATCAGAGTAGCACTGCTGGTCATTCAAGGAAAATATCTTGATGCTGTCAAACCCCTATCATAGCGTAGCAACATACACTAGAATGACAACTGCTTTTTGTCTCACCACTATCCAACTAACCTTTCTGGTATGGTGGGACCTCGAGGGAACAGCGTTCCATCAACATGGCTCGTTTGGTTATTGTGATACACAAGCTCGAAAACCCCGTCAAGGTAATAGCTACCGGTCAGGTAGGACAGCACTTTAAACTTGCGCTTCCTAGTAGACGCAGGCGACAAAATAAGCTTCAGTTTTCCTATCATCTTTAGGAAGATATCCGACGCAGGCCAATCACCCAACAGAACTGAGATCCATACATTCACTGAGCAATCTATGACTACTCATATAAGTCAGATGTTCGTTTACATCGGCGAATCCAGAGCAATCTATCATGCACGCTAACCTCTTATGTGCTTTTAATCTGAAAGGTTTACTTTAGGATTAAAAAGCTGATTGCTGCAAGAACTCAAACTAATGTCCAACGAATCACGCATCAGTACCATGTTCATGGTATCTAAAACTTAGTAAGCTCCACTTAAGACTACTACAAACTGAAAATGTGCAAACCGGTTTTTATGGTAAAAAGCATGACAAATTTTAAAGGACCCGCCGTTATTTGCTTGGTGGAGACTAGCACTGTAATTCGGGACATGTATTCCTTCCTACCTTATACTCATCAGCTGGATGTCTCTTCAACAAAAGCTCCACAATACAAAATTTAGTTAACACTGTGCACAGTCTCAGAAGCTTCATTTACACAATACAACGTAATCTTCCATGGCGCCTCGGGAAGTATTTACTTTGCATTGCTGAAGCTCGGGCAATGCAAAAATTGAAACAAGAATTGTGCATCCAAAAGAAACTTTGGTATTCACTATTATTACCTACCTAATTTTTTAGACTTCTCGATTGTTAAATCTAACTAAATCACTTTAATTTTCATACAATTCTTCTTTTTCTTCATCAATATAGGACCAGGAATTGCAACACAACTATTCAAGTTGCCACGACTCATCAGCGCAACACGTAAGAGAGTAGTGAGATGAAGAAGGAAAGAAAACTTTGGTCAAAAAAGAGAAAGTAGTGAAAGAGAAGCAGGAAGTATGAGAAAATAATGAGATTACGTATAGCGGTTAGTGTCAGGGTAATTTATGCATGCATCTGTGCCACTGATATCGATTCTGAGCCATATCACCCGAACCTACTTTGGAAAACTGTCTAACCTTCTACTGAAAGTCAAACTCTTAGATGTGGTTGTTGTAGCAGGTGATTTCAAAGCACAAATCAGACAGAAACATACACAAGTAGCACATTCAGAATTTCAACAGAATCAACAGAATAACAGCGACAGCCTGCTACAACTGAGCTCAGATAACCACATTTTGGTCAACATGACTTTCAGACATAAGGAGAGAAATTGTCTGTGTCCATCACCCCTTCTGGAGAACGTGGATAGAGATCACCCCATGTTTTGAGTATGCGTATGTCTGTGCCTAAATGAAAGTAGAAAAGCTACAGTAAAGAAGTGACTGCGAGCGCAGCCTGATGATGATGCTAAGGCTGCTTACAACGAGGAGTTGGATGGACAGTTATCCACGTAGAACGTCACTCATCTAGAACAAGCCTCATGTTACCTCCAGTTTGCCGTAAAAAAGCAGCATTTAAGACCGCAGCTGACTATCAGAACGATGTAAAAAAGCATCATTAGATCTCAGATTACTTTTCTGAATTAGTGGGCACGCGTGAACGCATATCTGCAAGCTCCAAATGCAATGAAGAGAGGAAGCAACTGAAATGAAGACCGACAAAATTTACGCACTAACCGTGAGCAGTGGCAGGTAGCAAAGATTAGAGATAGAAAGGCAACGGCGACAGATAACAGCAGACGGTTATTTAGACTACTCAAAGAAACTAGAGTAAAAAAACAATTAATGAGACTGTAGTAGAGAATCATGGGTCCATGATTCATTCGCAAGGAAGAGGACTGCAACAATGGGTGAAACAAGGGGAAGGTATTTTCTGTAACAACCATATAGCGAATCACCAACTTCAAAACTGTAAACATTGAGAAGACAGTAAGTAATCCGAAAAAAGAAAGGGTGGCAGGCATACATGGTAACGCAGGTAGTCAACAACGGCAGTTGAGTATTATTGGTTGGTATAACTAGTGTTCGTTAGCGTATAGGGGTCAGATATCATTGGTCTCAGTTGATAATTTTCTTATTCTTCCAGAAGACAGGGAAGTCCTTCTTTAATAAACCCAGTGGAATCAGTCCGGAGAATATAGTATCCCAGATTTTATATTCTAAAGTTATTAGACGCGTGAAAAGAGTTTAGGAAAGGCAAACCCACAAAAGCCAGACAGTTTTCAGACCTGTTCATGGGTGTACCAACTACATGTTCACCATCAGCGTGGTCTTGAAACACGGGATACTTACCAAGGCATGACACGGTACAGGCTGTTCGACTTGGTCGATCAAGAGTTTTTATGGCAGTGTCTGTCACTGAGAGCGATCCCGAGTTAGTATTCCACCTACTTGAAGGCGCTGTATATGAACACCTATGGGCGTATCAGAGCCTACTGTGAGGTTATGAAAAGGGTTGCGTATATGGAGTGGTGTTCATCAGAAATTTCCACTTTATCCGCTTTTACATAATTTTATCGTAGACGTACTTATGTAGGACATGCTCTCCAAATATAATTTTACCGAGATTCGCTTTGTTAAAGGAGGGTCCTAAGTAGACCTAGAGCACACCTATGATATAGTCTCGTTCGATCTAGATGACTTCAGAGGCAAACTTAGAATTTCTGAGATGCATTTCTTACCACCCAAATGCAAATTGTTGCTATTCTACGTTGACTCCCTATCTAATAGTAGGGAGTGAAGTAGTTAGGTGAACAGCTTCTTAGGTCATTGTGATATGCAAGCCCAACCAAAAAGTCAACACAACAGATATTGCCTGCAAAAGGAAGCTCCTCGACCAGTGACTTTTGGAATTCAAACCTTTAGATATATCAATGAGACGTTTGTGCGTTGTGGAATGGATTAATGCATTAAAAGTAAATTTTTAATGACAAGCTTATACACAATGATAACCTGTCAGAACTGAAGAGTAGTAAGTGTCTATGTATGACAGTACTGCAATTCTTCAGATGACACGAGACAAAAACAAACAAATAACCTGTATTACAGTTACTCTCTCATAGTCAGACTTCAACTGATGAAGTGCGTAGGACGAATACGATACTACATACCAGCTCACCTTTCGTGCACTAAAAGCATACAATTGAAAAGATGTCAAGATGAAACTACGGGTCTGATTCAAAACATTTCGCAAGTAAAACAGCTACAGCATTTATGATACTGCAAAAAGTAAGGAAGGCTCTTAGACACCAGAAATACCGATAACCTTTAGTAACTAACTTATCATATGCGTAGTCACCGTTAGCTTATGTCCTTTTTTTACCAACTGTTTGAGTAAATATGTTCTGTTGATTTGTGTGAAAATAGTGTTTTAATAAACCATAATGAATGAAGATTATCTAAGAGTGAATCAAAGGGCTTCTAATAACTATCCCTAGGTTTAAGACAAATAAAAAAATAAACTTCAGTAAACATATCAAGACAATGTTATCAATGAAACCAAGCACTTAAACAGCGAAATTAAATAGTCTGTTAGCTGTTCTTATTGTTTACTTTGATCAAGAAAATAAAAATATGAGGAAGAGATTAGCTGATACGCTCGCTGGATAAATAAATAATGGATTAACTTACTTCATCTAAAACGACAATTTCAAGATCTTTTATAACTTCAGAAGACGCACATAGCATATTGTGCAACACTTCGGTAGTCATGATAAGTAGTGATGCCTCAGGAGCCACGCTGACGTCTCCTGTGATCAGTCCAACATTTGTACCGAATTTTTTCCTAGAATATATATAAATATGTATGTAATAAGGTGCACTCTAAAAACAAACTTTTACTAAAATTACTTAGTTCAGTACTCAACTAACAAGATCTATTTGCGTCATTAATGCGCAATAAATGTATTGTGACGATATGCTGTTGAATTACAGGTCCGAAACGAAAATTCCGTTCATTTTTCCACTTATTTTACAATTCATGTGGGCACATGACTACGTTATAAGAACGTCCGGTTTTTTATTTTCCGACGGTCAATAGCGTGAATTCTTGAAAGTTCTTCTCATTCCATTCGAAACTCAGTTGAAAATCGAACTCATAAGTGGTGTGCTTATATATTATCATAAATCTTCGGGAGTGAATATTTAGTTATCAATTTAGATGGTGCAATACATTCCAAACAATCTGATAACGCATTTATTGACTGGTCATTGATGGTCATGCAGCAAACAGTAGGGAGCGAGAAGAGGAGGATACGCTGGCTGGACTGCGGAAAAGAACCTAGAAGATCTGGATTTCGCCGATGACTTGTGTCTGATGTCACACAAACTTGAAGATCTACAGGCAAAAACTAACAAGTTGACAGAAGAGGTGAGGCAGCGAAGACGGGACTTCAAGTGAATATAGAGAAGACAGAGGTGACGAAGATACCGTACCACCACCATCAACAACAACAACAAACTCCAGTCACCATCAACGGGAGGAACTTAAAGGAAGTAGCCTCCTTCACCTATCTAGGCAGCACTGTTTCAACTACAGGCGAGACAGACGAGAATGTCTAAGTCAGAATCGGAAAAGCAAGACAGGTGTTCATTAGCCTGAAACCAGTGTGGAGATCTTCTGTACTCAGCATATGGAACAAGATACGGATTTTCAACACCAACGTCAAGTCAGTGCTTCTGTATGGTTCAGAGACTTGGCGCGTCACGAAAGGCATTTCCAATAAACTACAGACATTCATCAACAACTGCTTACGCTGGCTCGCTACTGAAGATCAGATGACTAGAAAGAATAAGCAACAAGGAGCTGTGGGAACGAACCAACCAAGAACCTATCACGCAACAAATATGCAGGAAGAAGTGGAGATGGATTGGGCATGCACTGAGAAGGCCGACTGAGGACATCACGCGTCATGCCCTCGAGTGGAATCCCCATGGGAATTGACGAGTTGGACGTCCGGGGGTGACATGAAGGAGGTCGTGCAAAGAGGAAATGAGAGCTTGTGGGCTGTCGTGGAACCAGGTTCAAAAGATCTCAGAGAACAGAGGTCACTGGAGACGTGCTACTGAAGCCCTATGTTCCATTAGGAACCCAAGGGACTAATAATATAATAATAATAATAGTCTCTTGATTGCTGATCAAATTCGATGAAGCATCTTATAGTGCAGCCAGCAAGCTAGGAGGCTCACTATTACACCGAATCCTGATAGGTGTTAGTTGGTTGGAGGTAATCGGCAGGAAGTCCTGGATATAGGTTTCATGCTTGCTAGCACTCATTAGTAAGGCATATCTGGAGTACGAAACCATGGTACGTGCAGAAAACTACCTTGATTTATAGCTACAATATTAAAGAAGTATGTCACAGAAATAATGCCCAAACAGATCTCAACATTTTATAAAGGAACAATCAGGGAGGTACTTTGGATTGGTTATTTGATATAGCATACAGTGACACAGAATTATTAACTGGACGACTTTTCGAATAGGATTTAACGCTCATATTCATATTAAAGTCAGAGAAACAAAGTGACATTCGCAAAAGCCGTAGTCATATGCAAATTAAAACCACCTTAGTGTATACAAAAACAATTTATTCTTACACTACAGCTACCTTGTTGAACTTTGTTTTCTCAAGTTTAGTTACTAAGTACTTTTGTACCACATTCGCACGATTAGTTTCGCTGAAGTAAACCTAAGTTAAATATTAACTTGCGTACCATTATGCAATGAGCTACTATTCTTCAAATGCATTCTACTAATAAAAGACAACTGAACAACTTCAGAGTGACAGTGAAGCACTTTCAGTACTCATATTCATCTTTACTAATTACGATAAAAATATAGAAAGAATAAAGCAGTGCATAACATGAATATATAGAATAAGTCAGCGACTGCGCACATGCCATTGTAGCAAACGTTGAATTGCATCTGTTGTATGCAGACTGACGATACCGGTTGAGGGTTAAAACTCGGTAGATATTGGAGGATGTAGTGTAGTATAGTGAAAGTCAAAAAGGTAACTGAGTGATGACCATAAGCATACAGGAGTACAACAAGCAGATTAACTAACCTAAAGTCATAAAACTTTTGGTTTGACAACGCCTTGACTGGGCTGGTGTAGATAACTTTTGACCCTCGACGTAGACAGATAGCGCATGCATATTCTGCAACAACAGTTTTTCCAGATGACGTATGTGCCGCAACGAAAACAGTCTTATTGCTTTCAAGACATAGAATGGCGCGCTTCTGAAACGTATCCAGTTCGAATTCCCAACTTAAGGCTGGGTTTGGTATTAGAGTTTTTAATGGAGGAAGAGGCGTTACAGTATCCTCCTGAAGGAGACAATAATAATGAGACAATAGTTAGTTGGCGAACATAGTACCACTAATAGGAAAGCGTCAACAAACCTGTCATATGGTTTATACATATAAATTTGTCTTGAGACGATTTTCAAATGTACACGATCAACCAATGAATATATACATTCGAATGCTAGTTTGTTTCAATGTACCTACTCACTTTCAAAGTTTCACGCGAATAACAGAGAAATATTTACTTTTTCGTTAGTAGAACTCAAAAATATATGCACCCAGCTTAAGCGTACTGCGTGGTCATGAAGCTCACTCGCGATGGACAGAAACGAATGTAAAGTGAACACACTAGATTTCAGGATGGACTTCATAATTCCAGTTTATGCAATAACTTATTGTACTGAGCAGTACAATGCATATGGTGCTGGTATAATAATACCAATTACTTCATGCATGCACTAGTTTTTCTGTTGCCAGTAGCTCGGTTGAGCAAAGACACCATATAACTACTGACAGATGAGGCTAGTGCTTTCATTTTACTCGCCCATACTGAATAGTATTCCTACAGGTCCTTACACAAGTGATGCTTGATCTGTCGAGTGACTTATAAATGCCATTGTACTGGCAGCCTGTACACTGATGAGTGACAATAACTTGCAATTAGCAAACACAGACCTAGTGCTTATTTTCGGGATATTCTTGGAAGCCATGAGCATTTTTACTCCTCATTTCCATAACTTGCAGTAAATGCAAACAATGCTCCTTAGTGCTTCCTGGAGATGTTACAGTTAGCCTTAAGTTTAGCTCGAGCCTTAGTTGCAATACTACGTGCAACCAGTTTATCTCTATCGATGCGCTCCGAACAATGATTTCGATGACCATCACAACGCAAGATGAACTTGCCACAATTTAAGCATGATTACAGTTCAGATAGACGTTTCAGAAGAAGTGGCAATATTAAACAGAACCACGCCAACAGCAACTGATTTCGGTATGATCTCAGTTCCAGCTTTAGTGACAGAGGAAGGATGGAAGGTTGTAAAACGATGATGAACGTTTTGGAAATTAGTGCCAGAAGGCTTTTTCCTACGATTAGGTGGAGCCGTGGCTTAGCGGTTTAGGGAGGTGACTACCTACCGAGGTTTGGGCAGCCAAGCAGTATCATTAGCCCTCACGCAATAGATCTGGCTTATTGCCTACTGCACGGATGTGCACAAGATAGACGAGTGCGTTCCGTACAACCGACTAACCCCCGTCAGCTGTCTAAACGACCTACCTCTGAACCCAGATACCCAACATGGGCATGCAATTCCCCAGTTAGTACTATGATACGTTGAACGAGACCGTCTAGACCAATGAATGCAGTTTAAGAACAGATGCATCTGATATGGCACTGAAGGGTAGCCTTTTGGAAAAATTGTTTAACGCCTCAAGAAGACACAGACAACCCAACGATAAGCAGCCGAGCAAACAAAGATACATATAGAGATAGATATTAGAATGATAACAATAAAACAACAGTTCATAAGTAAGAGTAACGACGATATAAAAACAAATGGAATGCTTGAATAAACAATTATCCACGTCGTGAATTTTGATTTGTGCAGGAAGATTTGATTCGCACTTAGTAGTCTTCAGTGTCAGTGTTGATCCGTAAATTGTATCTGGGTTATAATACAGCCTGGACGCTCAGGCTGAAGCAGACCATTGTCTTAAGCTACCACTCTCTTCATAAGAGCGAATGAACGTGAGGTAATGGAGTCTCTTGGTTGCTGGTGGCTCAGACAGGTAGATATATAAGACTGGATGGTTGGGCCAATATGCACTACTGGTTTGAAATCGGGATTTCCTGACTCTGTTAGATGTACTCTTCGTGTACACCAATTTGGTTGTAGCAACAGGTTTTTGCTTTCATTCTTACTCTTGTGGGAACAACCCCCACCATGAGAAGAATGTGATCACGACTTCCCTATCAAAGGCTATGAAGGCTCGCCATATGAGAACATCTCAAGAGGATCACTGCGAGCATCTCACCCTCAATCATTTCAAAACAAATACGATGCATGGAGAATGCCTATGGCTAGAAAAAACTTGATACAAACAGTATACTAATGTTCCTTTGTCATATTAGGCGAATGAAACTTTGCAGTAGCTGTTACAAAAGTTCGATAAATTTGTCTTTAAAATTCGTCTCTTCCCCCCCCCCAACCTACGAAACATTAGTGTGATATTCAAAAATGCTTCACTTCTTTATGAAGTTAGTGCTGATACCATAAAATCCGGTGATAAAAAGACCACAACAAAACATCAAATTTCAAAGAACACCAAACTATCATTATTCTTCACCAACACATCAAGTCGAAAATAAAAGAAAATTCAAACACACTTAAAGGCAGGGTAAAAGTTGAGGAGACAACTCGGGTTATTAACTATGAAAGATCGGGTGTTTATGTATTCAGCCTTTATCCGTTTCAAATTTCAAAACATCTTATTAATCTTCATTAGTTCATCCTTCTCACTGGTTCACGAACTCAACTTTTAGGCAATGGATTCCGAATTCGATTCTAACTTCCCTACTTCAGCATGGGTAACTGAGTAGTATCACAAGCCAACACACAATAAATTTGGTTCAAGACCTAGTACAAAGAAATGTACCGGCTTAAGTTACACCTTTTTCTCATCCATCTGGCTTCTTTTACTCTTTTTTTATGTTGTTGTTGTAGAGATTTGCAAACCAATAAACTTCACTTTTGTGGAACTCTAGGACGTTTTGCCTGTCTAAAGGGAATCAGTAGTGCATCACAAATTCATCTTCACAAGTTCACAAAAAAAATTACTTTCAATTCTCACAAAAATCACACTACCAAAAGTGACGTGACAGAATTAGTTCCACTAACCTTAAGCAAGACAATTGTTGTTAGAAAGTCGTCTCATCGAAGAAATTTTCATTTTCTTTGAATTGGCTTTTAATTATTTCCTAGCTATGATTGACAAGTGATCATTTGAAGTAATAATAACTTCCATTTAAAAGTCAATTTGAAATCTACATTGCATTTATGTATCACATCTCAGCCAGTAAAGTAATGGACAGATAGTGATGGTGGAGTTCATGGTGAGTTTGCACATTTTTTGTGTGTTAGCATTTATGAATAGTTCAACAAATGGACACCAAGACTCATGACCTGGAAATCTAGGTAGTAAACATGCTTTCAGGTCTACACTCAAAAAACAGCTCGAGTTAGTTATTTGAGTACAAAAGGCTTTGAGACAAGACTTCGTTTGGAATTCGAAAGTTGGTATTTTCCTTATAAAATTAGAAGTATGACCACAAATGCTAAGGTCTTTGATTTTATAGGGATCATGTTATTTGCATTGGAATGATAAATAACACATGTTCGTTACTTCTCGTTTTCAGATTATAAACTCGATTTTATTTCATCTCTAATGGACCTCACACCTTCAAGCAATACTGCATTACCTTAAAGTTCTACCGTGCTATAACTGAGCTTTAGACCATGATTGTCATAACACAGCGTTTATGCACAAAATAGTAGAAACTCACAGTAATAGCATAAGACCATCTAGGTTTAGATGCTCTCACGCGTCTTTTAAGAAAAGTTAGTTTGTCCGTTTTTGGTAGTGAGAAAGTTCCTGTTTCATCCAATTGAGCTGTGTATCGAAGGAAATAACCCTTAGGAAAACACCAGTCATGAACTACATTATCTTTAGCCTCTCGCAGAACCTGATCAAGGATATCAGGAACAGGTAACACATTCTTAGCTGAATCGGCTGAACTATCATAAATACAGTTCCGTAGAGATAATTTGTTTTTAGCTGAACACAAAGCTTGTTTACTGATTTCATGAATTGATTCGATAATACTGGGTTCAATCTAAAAACACAAAGTTAGTTCCAAATAAAAATCACCTTCTTGTTTTGATTATGAACTCCACAGTATGCACAGTGGTACACGAACGTTTGAAACTAATATCAGGATTTCGTAATTCTCCTGTCATACCATCTCTATGTATTGGGATATTGTGATAGGGTATATAAGTATGTTGTTGAATCAAAATATGTCTTAATGAGCTAGGAATTAAACTTTCATCATTTTGGAAAGAATGTTCAAGAAAAGCATGTACATTTAGTATCTGTGTCATAGTTGATTTACTGAAAGTTTTCAATTCACTGTCTAGAACACGCTTGAACCAAGAATCAAAATGTATTCGGAAAAGTGAAGATAGTATGTATTTATCTAGGACAGACAAGAACAACAAAGCATTTGGTAATTTGAAACTTGTCAACCACAAGAAATTTTCAATTACAAACTTAGAGCAAGTTACTGTGATGTAGGTTTTCAATTTGTAGCTTCTTGTCAGTAATTAATCAAGTCTACAAAACGTTTTTATAAAAGCAGTGTTTGGAGTTCATTCGTCAAACACAAATTACTCTTGTTTAAGTGAACGCGTATTTCATTTGCTTCAGCATTTTACTCCAAAGCAACAAATCCAGGGTTAAAATCTTAATCCATTTACTTAGATTTTTGTGATGGGATAATATCACAAGCCCTCACATAAGTGTGGATTATAAATTAGTACGTAAGTACCAAGTTGAGTTGCGTTAACTCACACAATTATGTATGAAAAATAGTTCGACACAAATGATGTTTCTTTGTGCAGTTTCAGCAAAACGCTGTGAGTGAATCCGTCATCCTTTCCTCTCTAAATGCTCTTATATGATTAGGTTTCCATAGCGGCTAGCAGCTTCATGTGGTCAGAGTGCCCACAAAAAATTCAACCAGTTAAGCCATATGTTCAGTGCTTGTCATTCAATTGATGAACACACTCGGTTAAATGAAAGAGGTTGAAATGTTTCATACCAAAACAGCGATGATATTAGGTTTTGGAAAAACCAGAAGGCAAACGTACATGCTTTGCCCGTCTAGCTGGATTTTACTCCAGTTGAAGGATAGGTCCCTGAGACAACCTGCTGGTTGCAGCGTAGGTACTGATTTATGTGGATCAATCAACATACATCACGATAAACCACTCTACAAAAGCATACACAACTCACCCACTACTCTCGATTATTATTTTGTTTTAATGCTGTACTACATAACCTGCTTGTTGATTTCATCTTCATTTTAACCATTTGTCATCTACAATGAAATTAGGTGTTAAAAAAGTAGTCCGTGGTACGTATAAGAGGTAAGACAGCTATGAAAATGCACTGCGATCTTCTATGGAAATCAAATTTCAGAACCAATATGACACGCTAAACACCAAAAATGAATTCTAGATTGAGATAATGCAAGCTGTATGAGAAATACGACAGTGTCACAAGTAGCCGTAGATTACTGACGTCAATAAGCAGAGTTAGCTAGATCATGATGAACTACACACTGGATGGTGGTTATCTCTTCATTCGGCTGGGATTCCGAAAATGTCTGACTTAGCCATCCTACTTGTGAGTTGAAATCATCTGCAAGGACAACCACACCGTAACGTTTGGCTTTCAGCAGGTTAGACGGTTTTCGGTAAAACTAATCCTTCACTTCATCCCAGTTATAATCACTGAGGGTGTACGCAGAGATTACAAAGAGACAATACCCAGTTTACTGATTCTTCCCAGTCCTCATTGTGCTGTTCAATCGAACAGCGAATAGACAGGTATCAACTGGGATCCAGTCAAGCAGTTCACTTTCTGCCTTAGGACTCAGTAATATACATACACCTGCAAAACCATGAGAACTAGTCGTCGTATCTCCAGGAACTCTCAAGATGAATTTTGCAGGATGACCATATTGGCCGAGTGGGGTTAAGTGAATAATAACCGCATTTGAGTCCTCTACGTGTACCTCACAAACACAGCACATGTTTATAGCCTGAAATGCAAGAGTTTTGGCTAGTGAAACTTCTTGTCCAATTTGACGAAGGGTGCGCAAATCGAAAGCTTCGATACATAATTTGGAGCACGGTATCAGGAGAATATAAATACAGTTCCGTGAACTCGAATGGTTATCAAGAGCCGTGGGGCTGGAAGAAATTAATGATGATGTAGAAATATTTACCAAGAGAAGTGAGGAAAAAGTAGACGGTAAAGATGTGGAAGCCCGATGGTAATGATTTGAAAGAAAGTGAGTGCTGACAGTTGTAAGGGCGAACGACACCTTTTTTCAAAATAATTACAGATACAATTTTTTTAGGATAAATATTGTAAAACATGAACACTGAAGAATGAAATACACTGTAAATAGTTCATTTCAGTTCAAATAGCTCAGTAGTAAGACCTGTCCACAGTTTGAAACAATAACACTTATAAATTCAATATAAGTGCAATGCTCTACGTTTTCGGTTGTTTTTTTTAACCAGCCAACGATATCCTTCACAGTAATATCGAATATTATAAAGTTCTCATGTTCAAAGATGAATGGTAAGTGTGTAAATTAATATCTGGAAATTACTTGTATTGTGAACTTGTACTATTCAGAACAATTTTGTCCGAGTCTGAACCAGAGGTTGGGCCAACAGATACATGAACTGCTTGATCTAAAGCCATAGGTAACACTGGGTATCCATTGTAGTCAATGTGTTCACCTGGTGATTAAAAAAATATTAGTAATTCAATAATACGAAGTCATAATTAGAAAATATTGCCACCTACATATTAGATTATAGCAGACGTAAAAACTATGATATAGCTAACGTCAAAAGTCATGTCCAGGAGAACTAACAAAACAGACAGCATGATTTATGGCTGTTGAGAAAATGGGATAACAGTACATCACATCCTTTGCTTGAACCCGATATAGCAGCGTGTGCATGAAACCAAGATCTTAGAAAAGTAATGACTCTGAAGCAGTAAGAGCAACCGAGAACATCAGATTGTCTGGTACAAATTAAAAAGTAATGAGGTCAACTAAAATTCTGAACCACTATTGATCCCCATTCAACAGTGCAGATATGAAGTAAATTCGAGATATTACTCTCACCTTAACCTCACCTAGGTAACTGGTTCACTAGTCACTAGCCAATCCTAAGCCTGGATAAAAACGGAAGGTAGGGGCATAGGGCTAGCAACCCTACCCCGTAAAGCCAATCCAATCGCTAAAGAATCTTCAAAGCACAAACAAATATACAACATAAAAAGAAACTTATTCCTCGCTGGATTCGGAGAGACGGGATGACGCCGGTTGGTGAGAGCCTTCGGGAAGCCAGTCGGCCGATCTGTCTTCGCTTCTCTCGATGAAAGCGAAAGTAAACATAGGGACATGAAATGTCCGCACCATGTATGAACAAACCTACCAAGGCTGCCCAGATTACAAATAGATGAGGAGGTGTGGAATGGAAGTGCTTGGAATTTGCGAGGGATAAGCAAATGGAATGAAAGTGGACTCTCCAAACTGTCAACTGGAGAGTCAGTAATCTACTCCAATATTGTCGCCCAGACGACAACCACGAGCACAGCACACTGAGTTTCCGAGTGGCTATCACGATGTCCCCAACAGCATCAAAGGCTCTCTCCCATGCAGTGGGAACCAATCTCCTCCTGCACGATCAGGATCATGACAGCAAGGTGTATTCAACTCAAAAGGAGGGAAAGTCACAATCACACAATGCTATGCACCTACAAATAATGCAGATCAAGAGAAGGAGGGATTCTGCAGACAACTCCAATCAGTACTCAACAAGATCCCAGCCCAGTTGGCGACATCAAAAATCTAGTGGGTGGGGTGACATGAATGCTAAACTGGAGGCGGACAACACAGGAAGAGAACTAACCATGGGTCGAGAAGCACTCAGTGAAATGATGAATGAGAATGGAGAACTGGTTACAGACTTCTGCGAATTCAACGATTTGGTGGTCGGAGGCAGTGTGTACAAACACAGGGATATTCACAAGACAGAGACATGGACTTCATTAGACAGCAGGACACACCAAAAACTAGATCGACTTCATCTCAATGTGAAGACACAGCCTGCTGAACACAAGATCAAGAAGGAGAGCAGATGTAGATGGTTCACACCACTCACTATCTATATAGTGCAAGCAACCTTCAAAACCAAGTTGAAAGACTTCACAGAAGTTGTTGATAGATGAACACAGTTCAAGTTGAACAATCAGAACAGATAGTGGACTGAACTGAAGGATGGAACTACAAAGGACATCTTCAAGTCAGTCATTAGGACAAAATGGGAGACATTAGGCAGATTCCCTGAAAAAACCTGCATGGAAGGACACTGGAACTTTTTGAAAAAGATGTGGAAAGAAGCCCGCATAACCGTGTTAGGAAGGAAGAAGAACCAGGACAAGGAATGGATCTCGACGGATACATGGAAGCTGATAGAGGAGGGAGAGGAAGACGCTGAAGCAGAAGATGAAACAGTGCAATGCAGGGATGAACAACGAAAAGAGGAACTGAACACAACCTATAAAACACTACACTGGGCAAAGAAGTGAAGAAGAGTGCGAGCAAAGACAAAAGACACTTCTACGACACACTTGGAAGTGAAGCAGAACAGGCTGCTGAAAGGAGAGACCTGACAACACTATATCAAATAACAATGTTACTATTAGGGAAGGGAGAGATCAACTCAAATGAAACCAATGAGAGATAGTGAAGAAAACGTAATTAGCAAAGAGGAGAAACAAAGGAAACGATGGGCTGACCACTTCAAAAAATATTGAATCGACCACCACAGCCAGTAAACACAAGCCCTCCGATGAAAGCAGAAGTCCTGAACGTCATAAAGCTGCTGAAATCCGGGAAAGCAGCAGAACCAGATAGAATTCGTTCAGAAGCACTGAAAACAGACGTAGAGACATCATGCTCACACTACTGTTGCAGAAGCTTTGGAAGGAAAGGTACCTTTCAATTGGAAGAAGGGTAACCTTGTCGAACTTCTAAAGAAGGATGACCTAAGCCTTTGCAAGAACTGGCAAGGAATCATGCTGCTGTTCACCTCAAACAAAATATTAAGCTGCATTATCCTAGAAACACTAAAAGAACAGGCTGACTGCTTTCAGAAAGAACAAATCATGTGCAGATCAAATTGCAACGCTACGCTACGCATCATCATAGAACAGAGCATAGAATGGCAGTCAACTCAACTCTACCTCAACTTCACCGATTTTGAAAAGGCCTTCGACAGCGTCAACTGACAAGTAATTTGGCAGGCAGCTGCTTCAACACCACGGTTTTAGTGCCACAAGCCTTTATCAACCTCATTCAACAGCCATATGAAGACGCTGCATGCCAAGTGATTCACAATGGAAAGTTCAGTGACGCCTTTGAAGTGAAGACAGGAGTAAGACAAGGCTGCCTATTATCACCGATGATCTTCCTGACTGTGGTCGACTGGGTCACGCAGCAAACCTTGAGGAGCGAGAAGATGGGCATACGTTGGCTGGACCGATGAAAAGACCCCACAAAAGGATTTGGATTTCGCCGATAACTTCTGTCTAATATCGCACAAGCTCGAAGATCCACAGGCGAAAACCAACAAGTTGACAGAAGAGGCAAGGTAGTGAAGACGCGACTTCAAGTGAATGTAGAGAAGACAGAGGTGATGAAGATACCCAAGCAACAACTGCATCAACAACAAGCACCAATCACCATCAACGGGAGAAACCTAAAGGAAGTAGTCTCTTTCACCTGCCTGACTATCCAGCATCGTTTCAACTGCAGGTGGCACAGATGAGGACGTCAAAAACAGGATCGGAAAAGCAAGACATGCTTACCTCCATTAATCTGAATTCAACTTGGAGATCTACTGCACTGCACTCAGCACAAAGAACAAGATCCGGATTTTTAACACCAATGTCAAGTCAGTGCTGCTATATGGTTCAGAAACTTGGCGCGTCATGGGAAGCATTCCCAACAAACTACAGACCTTCATCAACAGCTGCCTACGCTCGATACTGAAGATGAGATGGCCAGAATAGTAATGATAAGCAACAATGAACTCTGGCTAACTGGCAACGAAACAACCAAGAACCCATCCATCACCCAACAAACATGCATAAGAAAGTGAAGATGGATTGGATTGAGCATACACTGAGAAGACCGTCAGGCCCTCAAGTAGAATCCAAATGGAAATGACTAGTTGGGCGTCTGTGGCGAGGGTGACATGGAGGAGATCATGTGAGGAAGGAATGAAAGCTTGTGGGCAGTCGCGGAGCCAGGTTCAAAAGACTGCAGAGAACAGAGTGCAATGGAGGCGTGCTACTGAATCCCTATGTTCCACTAGGAAACCAAGGGAAAAACAATAATAATGATTTGATCGCGGTTTTTGAGTTTTATTGTGATGTCCTAGTAGATAGTTAGTCCTAGCAGGGGAGAAAAGATGGGACATCAGTACCGAAGTCATGATTAAGAACACGAAATGCAAGTATGAGATCACCCCGTTTCCTACGGTAGTACAGTGGGAATACGTTTAGCTGATCTAGTCCTTCCTCGTAGGACAGATTTGAAAGGTCTGATACGAGCTTAGTACCTAATCTTTGAGCACGCTCGAGTGCGTCAGCATCCTTTTTTAGGCATAGGCTGGCAGCCTGAATGCAATATTCCAAGTGAGGTCTAACGTAAGTAGAATACAGTATTCTGAACACGTCCTGGTCAAAACTCTTGAAAGCTCTGCGGATGGACCATAATACGCGGAAGCCCTTCACTGCAGCTCCATTACAGTTTGCCGAGGTTTTGAAATCATGACTAATGATGACACCCAAGTCTTTTAGCTCAAAGACTGGGAGTAGTGGTGTACCATCCACGGAATACTGGAAATAATTGCTATGACCAATGTGAATTATTCCACTTTTATTAGAGTTGGTTTCTAGGCACCGTTTGCACCAACCTACTAGCTCATCTAAATCAGCTTGAAGTGCACACCTATCTGCATCACTGCGTATGGTTTTCCAAATTTTCACATCATGGGCTAATAGCAGTACCGAAGAATTCAGCAATTTTGGTAATTCGTTGATATATAACAAGAAAAGTAGTGGACCTACGATTGTTCCTTGAGGAACTCCACTCATCACAGGTTTCCACCCGGACAGCATCCCATTAACCTTACTCTTTGTCTCTTATCGTACAGAAAGTCCCTGATCCAGGCTTGCAATGAGACACCAAACCCGAAAGAGGATAGCTTTCTCATTCATTTCACATGCAACACTTTGTCGAATGCCTTGCTGAAGTCTATAAACACGGCATCCATTGGCAGCTTGTGATAACGGGTAGCAACCCATTCTTCTCCTGCGATAAGGTTAGTCAGACAAGAGTGTCCAGTATGAAAACGGTGTTGTTGTGGTGGTAAAAGATTGGTTGATTCAACATGTTTAAGTACCTTATCACGAATTATCTTTTCTAAAATCTTAATAACTACGCTAGTTAGACTCACAGGGCGATATTTAGACACCAGATGGCGACTACCAGCCTCAAAAACTGGGCTGATAATGGCATCTTTCCAGTCTCTAGAGAGGCGAGCCTGAGTTAGGGACATACTAAAAAGATCCGTGACTGACTCAACAATAAAGTCTGCTAGCGGAGATAGAAGTCTAGGATGTAACTCATCGGGACCCGAAGATCTTCCAGTTTGGGATTAGTGAGCAACCGTAAGACTTTACTTTGTTGTGAACACAGTATCGACTAATGGAACAACGTTGACACCACTATTGAGAACTTCGTCATGATCTACAGAGTAGACTAAAGTAGACTAAAGTAATCCGACAGATATTCAGTTTTGGACATATTTGATTCCGCCAGACTATCGTACTTTTCATCAGTCGCCAGACAGGGAATTCCACATTTTCTTTCAGTCCTCCTTCTGATGAACGTGAACAGTCTTTTAGGACAATTTCGGCAATCCCTCACAAGCTGTTTCTCGTAGGACATTCGAGACCGTGTAAGTTTTGCAGGGATTATGGACTTTAAAGTACCCAGTCTTAAATGTTTCCAGTCTAGTTTCTAGAAAAAAGTCCCATAAACGTCTCCTCCGCCTTAACAGTTTCCTACGGTCTTTATTAAACCAGGGAGGGCGACGTGAGGATCGTCGTGGAGTCGAACATGGAACAAATGATGTCGTTACCTCTTCAAATGAGTCCTTGTCGATGGTCCAATCCTTACTGACTGCGCAATCCCTTATATTGAAATGTCTGCACGCCATACATTAGGTTTAGGGAAAGCAGTGTCATAACCAATCTCATTAGTACGAAAACAAAAGGTTAGCACTATATGGTCGCTGTTAGCTATTGGAGGGAAGTGTCGTAGATCCAAAATGTCTTCACATTACTTGATTATAACTAAACCTAATAACGATGGTTTGTGTTCAGAATCGTAACGCGTTGCACATGCTACGTTCTGAACCAAAGCCGATTCTTATACCGTCAAGAGTAAATCATTTTCGAAGGAACTGCCCGATGCTGAGACTGTTAGCTCCGTCCAGTTTATGTGTGCAGCATTCAGATCCCCAACTACTAGGCATCTGTTGCTTCTACTTTAGTTACGCATATGGGTTAGCACGAAGTCATTTGCAAGGCAGGATGGACTATGGTAAATGACCCCGATAGTACAGAAACCCTGCTTTGACTTCAGCTCGCAACTGGCCACTTCATAGGTCCCGCATTCATGTGCTTCGGATGTGACTAATGGTATGTGGACGTCATCCCGGACATAGGATAGTATGCCGCCACCTTTACGACCCACAACCCTATCTGTCCTTACACAGTAACACCCTGTGAGGGGTGGCGTGAATTCTAAATCCTTCATTAGACAGGTTTCAGTAAAAGCTACTATGTCATGATCTAGTTAACAGATTAGAGTCTCGAAGTCTGTAACTTTACTTCTAATACTGCGAACATTAGTGTAGATTACGTTCACTGTGTTGGAAGAGTTCCATAACTCACCCATACAGGCCTTGGAAGCATTCGCAGTTTGGATGCGCTACTCAAGAGTACATCCACTTCTTCCTTGTTGCCTAAACCAACCTTTAAAATTCTCTCCTTATCAGGCTTTTCATCCGTTTCCTTACCTAGCCTGACTACTTTGAAGATGTGTACCCCTTTAGACTTTTCAGGTAGAATACGTCTGATGGCCGACTCGACTAATTTCAGGTCGCGTCCGTGACGTATTAAAAGATCTTTATCTGATGACTGCTCAACATTCCGGAAGATCACACTGGGCGTTGGAGTGGAATCTTTGAGTCGCGTGTTGACAGCCTTCGAAGACTTTTCAATAGGTTTCATAAGCTTAGTTGCCTCAGTGATAACCTTCGGCAGTTTCTCCGAATGCTTTCTTGGAGAAATCCATATAGATTCGTTGACCACCTTAATAGAGTCAACGCGGTTACCAGAGATGCAGTCTTCTGGTGAACCCTCAGGCATTATAGTTGGTGTACCATTTGCTCTCGGCTTTCTCTTGGGTCGAGTATGCTTCGAAACTGAGGTAATCTCATCAATTAGATAACTAGCTACCATTAGTTCATTGAGATATCCTGTCAGATGTATTAACGATAACACGGTGTCATCATCTCATGCCGCATTGGAACGACAGCTACCATTTCCATATAGCTGTTTATTGACGAGCAACATTTCAACAGCTTCCTGGATTACGGTTGACAACGGCTTGCAGCAGAAATCACATAACCAGGGAGAAGCTGGTTTAATGCAACGCCTGTACACGGTTGGTGTTAATCCGGTACAAACTTTGTGGGACGAACATCCACATGCATCACATTGCATACCTTCATCGACTGGAAATTTACAGCCGGGACGACCACAAACATGATTATCGCTAAACATGTTATTCAAAAACAAGATCTTCAGCAAAGAGGACTCTTCAATGAATTGATTCGCAAGCTGTACATTCGTATATATATATATATATATATATATATATATATATATATATATCCTAGCCAGCATTAGCTTCGGGCGCACACTGAGTTTCGGACTAGGACCCGAAAACTTTACTTCGGGCGCATATCGGGCGACGCATGATATCCCCTGAATGTTCCAAACCTTTTCCGCGAAAGTGTCAAAAGTCACGAAGTGCGCCAAGTTTCTGCAATGCGTCCAAAGTGTCTGTAGTGCGCCCGAAGATTTGTAATAACCCATGTCCCAAGTGCTGAGAAGGCATAATCCGTAATATTTTTATCTGAATATTTGACGTTCATATGCCACATGTGTTTATGTTACAGAAGTCAACACAATGTTAGCGGCCAAGTAAAGTATCTGTGAAATTTAGGGGGAATACCGAAAAGTTGCTAAGTGTGCCCGAAGTAACTTCAGGTGAAACTCGAAAGTCCCAAAGAGCGCCCAAAGTAAATGCTGGCTGGGATATATACATATACAAATGTACAGCTTCAGAATAAATTCGTCAAGAAGAATCCTCTTCGCTGAAGATCTTGTTTCTGATGTCACAATGGGAATAAGGAACCATGTTGTTCACAATTTCTTTTTCCCTAGTAGCACGTACTTATCGAAGTTTTTGGTCAAAATTTCGACATAAGAACTTAAGTTGTGACAACACAAAGACAAACCCTAAGCCTCAAAAATGATTAAAATCCAAACACCTTCTCAAGTCTTATAAGAAAGCCTTTGATGTGGGCTATATAACAAAATCGTTGAAAAATACCACTGGCGCTGTCCTACAGGCCAAATCGAACAAGCGCCTTACCACTGTGGAACTAGTCAGAATGTTGTCTTATGACCGCCATCTTAGTAGGCCATGTTGGACAATTGGTTTTGTACTAAAGTTTTTCGTTGGTTTATGAACGTTGCAGAGGTAGCTGACTTTCTTATCTTATGAATTTTACTCAGTTATACCCCGTTTATGATACTATCTTCGTTGGTTGTCTGTTTCGTTAACTGCTTTTATTGCTTGCGATGTTTGGCGACGCAGGTCAGTTTCTTGAAACGTATTTTTTCATGGTGTTTTGATGGGTTAGTGTGAGTTTATCCGCGTTATGTTGTTCTTGTTGTGTTAGTTGGTTAACCAACAAAAAAGCCGTGACGCTGACTGTGCTGCCCTTGATCCCCAAATTACTTAAACGTTTACAGCCTTTATCTGGATGTTTGAAAAGGCGTAAATCTCAGCACGCCCCATTGCTGTTTGTTATCCTTCAGCTGAAAATCTGCCAAGAAGAGTGCTTTGTCTATTCGTCTTCATAGCCTTCCAGCGTGACACACATCCCCAAAATCAATAGCCTGGGGTTAGACGACAGTCGACATTGATGCTGACCTTGATAGTTTAACTGGACTGGCTAAGCTGTACGCACCGGGTCGAGCGTCCTCGCCATCTGGCACGCTGTCGTGTTACGTCGCACTGCTCGTATTCGACTCTCTAGCCAGCTAGTTGGAACTCATTGGTATCTTGACACAACCACCCAAATATACTATTCCATCCGACTACGCCATCGTGTTCTTCCTTGTTCTCGTATTCGTGGGTATGTAACAAGTCCGAATAATTGGTGATTGGTCTTTGCGTCCGTCAAGTTCGCACCAGGACAATTCCTAAATTGGTGAGCCTGACGTGATCACATATCCCGACCAATAACAAATATTGAATTGGTGAGCCTGTTACATTTTATATCTGTATATTGTTTTCGTTTCGATAACATTTATGTATCCATTTACTACACTTTCTCATGTCCGACCACACTTCCAAGCTTATTTGTATTAGGCCGACTACGAACAGGATCCAACTCGTGCCATATTGGCCAGACAATGCAGAAACATGGTTTCTGTATGCCGAGGCAGATTTTCGATAACAGGGCGTCTCAGATCCTCATTCTCGATTTCTTGCCGTCATACGGTCACTACCGCGGGAATCAAACAAACATGTTACAGCACACATGTTTAATCCTGAAGTAATCCTTATGCACTTCTCAAGGCCGCACTCTTGAAGAAAAACGATCTGACAGATCGCCAGCACCTAGGTGAATTGCTTCGTAACATCGAACTAGGCAGCCACTCAACTACTGAAGTCCTTGCACGCATGCGAGAGGTGATCGGCGCACGAACATTCGACAATGGCCTTTTCCGAGAACTATTTCTCTCAAAACTGCCACAGCCGGTGCGAACCGTGTTAGTGACACTGCAGTCTGTCCCACTCGATGACCTGGCAGCCTCAGCAGATAAAATACTAGAGATTTCTGGCAGACCCGTCTCCAACGTATATTCTGTCTGCGACAAACCAGAGCTCCAGG